CTGGAGCGAGCTCTGGGGCTGAAGGACAAGAACTAGAACACACTTTAAATACACAGCAACTGATGAGGGGAAGACAAGGGACACCCGGAACTCATAAGACAATCAACATAGGAAACACCTGGGAACACAATTAATTCAAAACACTAGACAGAGAAACTGGATGATGGAGCACATAGGGAGCAAAGACACACACAAAACCTGGCCCAGAGTCTGACATTAACCCAGTCTCGCAGTTTACAGTAGGCTATTTCATCTTTTTTTAGTAGGCCTACGTGTTTTAGTTTGATTGTTGTTATTTTGTAAAATGATTTACATACTTTTACATTTTTATGATTAAGTTATATGATTTAATTATTTATTAGCTTTTCATTAAACTGATGAAACCCCTGCAGTTCCTTCAGGAACCCAGTTTGGGAAACCTTGATGTATACACTCTAAAAAATGCTGGGTTGTTTCAACCCAACATTGGGTCAAATATGGACTAACCCAACCGTTGGGTTACATTTTTACATAAAATTTTTAACCCAAAAGTTGGGTTAGTCCATATTTGACCCAAAGTTGGGTTGAAACAACCCAGCATTTTTTAGAGTGTAGGCTCATGTTTAATGCATTTCATGTTGTTAACAACAACGAATGGAATATATGTTCTTTCTCTTTGTATTTTTGTATCAATATAGCACAAGATTATCCTATTTAAATCAATGTGATAAATAAGTTAGGTGGACATAAGTAATCAAAATGTAGTCCGATTATATTAACTAAAATGTTTAATGTAACTAGTAAGTTTTGTCATGTAATTTTGAATCAGTAACAGACTACAATTTATAAGTAGGCTAATACCCATCATCACCGCCTCTCATGGACCTTTAATAAAAAAAATAAAAATTTAAACTGCGCTGTGATACTTTCAATTAAACTGTCATTACAACATGAACGTACAGTAGGCCTATATGCTTTGAGATTGTTATTAAACATTAAAAAAAAATGACATAAATGTATTCCTTACATTCCAATTTATTTCAGATATTTGCTTGTGAGACCAAAAAAAAATAAAAAAGTAGACTAATGACCAAGTTTAGAAATGCGCTTGCATTTAACGGGTTCTGCCCACTGATGGCGCCAGTGCTTAAATGACTAGGCTACTTGAAATAAATTAATTATTTATACTGCTGTATTACGGAGTTAAAAAGTTTTTAGTTCAAATTATCATGGACTAAATTCCTTATGAATAATATACTAATTCGTCAAAAAAAACTTTTACAAAAACGTAGCTGCATCGCCTGCAGCATATGCAGTTATGTTTACGAGAAAATGAAACCGAAAGAGTATAGGTCGTGTTTCACTTATGAATATGGCTTCGAACTATCAAGAGGATTCGGGTGAGTTTCATACAGGCTATTTTCCGATATCAACTAAACAAAATAAAACACATAATGTAAGTTGTCTATAGGCCTACTTAGCCAAGAGAAGGTAGTCTTTTCAGCAGTCTTTCAGTCTCAAGTATTGCGGTGATCTTACAGCTTTTCTGGGGTTTCGGTTAACACTTTCTCATGTTTGTGTCATTCTCATTTCGAAATATTATTTTTCTAAAACTAGTAGAGGCCGCTTGTCAAACGTTTTACTCTAGTGGACATTTCTCAGGGGTAGGCTTATATTTACTTTTGGAAAGTCAAAGTCTGTACTGTAAAAACGTAATGGTAACCAACCCCCACTTGTAACAAACATCTTTAAAGTTGATCAGTCAAGTTACTCCACCCTTAGTTATTATTTGAGGGTTTTACTAACTTAAGGGCCTTGTTGCAACTGGCTACTGCTGTCATGCACACAAATATGACATAATAGTCGACTTGAACTAATATAGGCTATAATATTTTAAAAAGTCCATACATATTTAAGCAATGTCACATTCTCAGTGACACTATTGAGTGTCAAGTGGGGAGACCAGGGATGTGAGCTGTCCAGTAAATAACTATTGATTTATATATATATATATATATATATATATATATATATATATATATATATATATTATATCTCTCT